TGAGAGTACAGTACAGCGAGAGTACAGTGAGAGTGAGAGTACAGTGAGAGTAAACGCTGACAGCATGAAGCTACTGCTTTAGTGACTGTGCTGTGAACACATACAGAGATCAGAATGAGAAGGAGAGAGTGGCTCACTTCAGTCTGGACGCCAGACGCTTCAGAGACAGCAGCCGGTCCTGATTCTGAGCCAAGCACAGAGAGCCAGACCGAACGAAACCTGCAACAGACCATTACCTTATTAAATTAAGCACACGCTGTCTTTGATAATCAGCGCTCTGCTGTGGTGTGATGGTGAATTCTGACCCGTTTTAACACCCGTCTCCTCTTCCAAACGCTCGTAGAGTGCGATCGAATAATCTGCCATCTTACTCTCAACAGAAAGAGGTTTGGCAACGCTTACTATTCCTGCACAAAACCGAGTTGTGCCGGCTCCAAGTCTACAAAAGACACAAACAAACAGGTGAATCCCACTGAAGCAGAGCTTTGCACGGACTCAGATATTACAGATGACAGGAATGTGATGTGAATCTCAGAGAGATGTGTCTCACCTGCCCTGCTCCAGCAGCACGATCTCCGTCCAGCCCAGCTTGGCCAGATGATACGCCACCGACGTGCCCACGATGCCTCCTCCACAGATCACCACGCGGGCGCGAGCCGGCAGAGCCGCGGACACAGAGTCTGTGCTTAAGAACCGCACCGATCCATGCAGATGAGCAGGACAGGCCCTGGGGCCACAGAGCCAGCGGGGCAGAAGAACCGGGGCCAGAGCCCGGATACTGCAGACACCGCCACGCATGACTGCGCTGCTGCTGAAACCAGCACAAACCCTGAAATATAACACACACAACACTAAACAACACACACACAATGAAATCACTCGGCTCTCGGTTCTTCTCTTTCTTGCAATGTCAGCATCTATGGCTATTTTCATTAGGGCTGGGTAAAAAAATATCGATATCTCGATATTAATCGATTCTCATTTTTATGGAATGATATTGATTATTAAATCCCAAGAATCGATTAGTCTATAGTCTGTTTTCAGTTAATGGACAGAACATTGAAGGGCACTTCCCACCCAATATATCGCAATAAGCATTGTGCTTTGGTACTTTTAATATGAAACAAAGTCTCAGATTGTATTGCAGTATTTAAACAATAAATGCCGTTTTGGCGCTGTTTAATGTGGAGTGACAGATCGCTGTAGCGCCTCAGATCAACAGACGTGAACTGATCATCTCCTCCACATTAATACCAGCTTCAGCACAAAATAAACATGACTAAACATCTGAAGGTAAGTTAAAAGAAAGAATACAACTTTACAATCCGTATCCTGTCTCATGTAATCTCTCAATCAGTGTTTCCTCCGGCTTATATATATAACGGCTTCTAAACAATGTCACGTAACGCCACATTTACCTCAGAAAAAACATATCCGGTGACCATAATCTCATTAATCAGATAGAAAAATAAACTGTAGAGAGGGGCATTTTGCTTAATATATGCACCATTTAACATTTTTACTTCAATGTTTAATTTATGTTTGAATAAATCCATAGTAAATCCATAAATCTGAAGTAGAAACATTATTATGTAACTAGCTTTATTATTGTAAAAACTTCATTAATTTTAACCCTTCAATATTATAGTAATGTAGCACAAACTGACTCGTACATTTTACAGCATTAGTTGGCATGTACTGTACCTGATATATATCCAAAATAATCGATATTGAATCGAAAGCTTGTGAATGAGAATCGAGTCGAATCGTGAAATTTGTGTCAAAACCCAGCC